GTAAGAGAATCAGGTCTGGGGGCAGATTCTGTAGTGGAATTGTGGGCTCACCCCTGTGGGACTGCAGTGCTTGCTGGTTTGTGCAAGAGCTGTGGGTGGTGACAGGCCGACCCAGCACAACCACCAACACTCATTGGATCTGGGGTTGGGAGCAGGCTGAACTGGACCAGGCTGTAGCACCCATTAGCAGACCTGAGAACTAGTTCCAGGGGCAGGCCTAGCCAAGCCACAGCACCTGCTAGCACATGCAAAGGGCCGGGGCTGGGAGTGGGCTGGGACAAGTCAGGCTGCAGTATCCCTTGACAAGTGCTGAGACTGGGGGTGGCCATGCCAGGCTGGGTCAGAGTCACCACTGGTATGTGCAAGATTCAGGGTTGGGAGCAGGCCAGGTAAGGAAATGTATACACTCCCCTGCTGGCTACAGCTCCTGATGGTGAGCGTAAGAGCCAGGGCTAGGGGTGTGCCAGGCTGGACAAGGTGGTAGCAACTGTCGCATACATGTAGGCTGGGTATGGGGGTGGATGAGGTAAGTTAAGCTATGCCACCCACGAGTACGCACAGGAGCCAGATGCGATATAGAAAAAGCTAGATTGCAGCACATGCCAACACATGCAAAATCAAGGGCTAAGGGCAGGCCTGGTGGGAGTTATTGGGGGCCACCCCAACTAGACTGCAGTACCCACTGGTGTGGGTGAGGGCTGGGTCTGTGGCAGACGGTTTGAGCAAGGCTACAGCACTCACTGGTTTGTGTGAGATATGGGGCTGGAGACAGAACTGACCAGGCAGCTGCATCCATCAGTAAGTGTTGGCTGGTGCAGGCAATGGACTGACTCTGACACTGCACTTGCTGGAACACACGAGTCAAGTTGGGGTCACCCCAGGTGAGTCTTGGGGGACTCGCCAACTAAGCCATTGGACTCAAACAGGGAAAATCACAATGTACGTGGTCTGATCATGGAGTGCCTGCCCTAGGACTGGCCCTCCTCAGTTGCTGACGGCCATGCAGTAGACAGCATGTCCAGATGCACACAGAGGATATGACGGCCAGCTCATCTAGGCCAGCAGGGGAGGTTGACTGCCTTGTCATAAGATGTGAAGCAGAACAGGTTGGACCACTCTCCTGGCCAAGCCTTGCGGCAAGTGTCTGAGTCTGTGATACACCAAGGTGGACTTGGTCAGTCAATAGACCTTGGACAGATTGTCTCAACCCTGGCGTATCTCAGAATTATCAAAACTACTCAAGTAAGACTCTTGGAACATTCTTGCCCACATTGGGGTCTCTAAAGTATCATCAAATGACTGTCCCCTGTCCCTGGATACTGATGTAGTCTGACAGCAAGGAGTGGCATCTTCCCCTTACGCCCCCTGCAGATACAGGAAAAAAAAAAAAAGAAGTTGAAACATTTGTCCTACCCACCTTGCTCGTATCTCTCCTCCCCACGCTAGCCAGAGGTCCACATGGATGTTTATCCCTCTTAAGTATGTAAACAATATTAAAAATAAAATAAAAACGCTAAAATGAAACCTAAAGCCTCATAAAGTGTGGCTCCACTGTCGATGGCTTCAAAGTATTTAGGAGACTTGGTGTTGACTGAAATAGAAATGAGAAGAAGAGGGATCAGGCCTGGCGCAACAACCTAGTGGCTAAAGTCCTCACTTTTCATGTGCCTGGCTCCCACATGGATCCCGGTTCTAATCCTGGCAGCCCCGCTTCCCTTCCAGCTCCCTGCCTGTGGCCTGGGAAAGCAGTCGAGGACGAACCAAAGCCTTGGGACCCTGCACCTGTGTGGGAGACCCAAAAGAGGCTTGGGGCTCCTGGCTTCGGATTGGCTCAGTTCCAGCTGTTGTGGCTGCTTGGGGGAGTGAACCATCGGACGGAAGATCTTCCTCTCTGTCTCTCCTCCTCTCTGTATATCTGACTTCAAAATAAATCTTTTAAAGAAAAAGTTCGATTAGGAAAAATATCTTAAAAAAAAGAAGAAGAAGAGGGATTAATGAGGGATACCCCCAAGCCAACAGCCCTGCTATTTTCCAGCCTAAAGCCCTGGGTGGGCAGTGCTTCTACTTTTGAGGTAGGGCCCAACGGAAGGGAAATACTTGGGAAATAAAGAGACTGAATCAATGCTTTTTCCTAATTATTTCATAATGAAAACATTCAGACTTCCGAGTCAGCTGTGTTCACTAAAAAGATTTTTTTAAGATTTATTTTTAACGTCAGATATACAGAGAAGAGAACAGAAGAGACGTGGAGGAAGATCTTCCATCCAACAATTCATGCAGCTGCAGTGGCTGGAGCTGCACCGAACTTAAGCCAGGAGCCAGGAGCCTCTTCCAGGTCTCCCACATGGGTGCAGGGTCCCAAGGCTTTGGGCTGTCCTCGGCTGTCTTCCCAGAACACAAGCAGGTAGCTGGATGGGAAGCGGGGGGTGCCGGGATACAGCGCCCATATGGGATCCTGGCGCGTTCAAGGCAAGGACTTCAGCCACTAGGCTACTGCGCTGGGCCCCACTAAAAATTTTTTTTTAAGATATTAATTCATTTTATTTATTCCAAAGGCAAAAACAGCCAGAGTCGGGGGTTTTCTTGCCAGCAGCCCCTCCAAAACCACCAAGGTGGTGAGGCAATGGTGCTCTTTGGCCACAAGAACCACCAGAGAAGTCTGGTCGAGCAAGCCCATTTATTGCAATACAAGCACAAACTTACATAGACTAAGCAAAGGGAAGGCGGGGGGCATTTCCTGCCAGTCTTCCTGCTCAGCATCAGCACTGTAATTGGCACATCTATTTCTCTGGACCATCCAATCATGCCACAGTCCTGTGCAACACTCACAGCTAGCAGGCAGGCTGTGGGTCACACACATCAGGTAGCAGGCAGAGATCCGGGGCAATCTCCCACACTCAGAGAGCTCCCATCGGCTGGTTTCTCCTCAAATGCCTGTCACAGCCCTGTGCAGCTGGACTGGGCCAAAGCCAGGAGCTGGCCCTCCATCGGGGTTTCACATGAGCGGCAGGGATCTGAGTATTGGGCCATGGTCTGCTGCCTCCAGCCACATCAAGAAGCTGGAACAGAGAAACAGAGCCTGGACTTGAAGCCGGGTACTGTGATATGGGATGCATGTAGCTCAGCATATATATAGTTTAAAAAGTATTTTATTTGTTTGAAAGGCAGAGTGACAGAGAAAAGGAGAAACACACAGATTCTCCTTCTGCTAGCTTACTCCCCAGATGGGCACAACAGCTGGGGCTGTGCCCAGCTGAACCCAGGAGCCAGGAATGCCATCTGGTTCTTCCGTGTGGGTGGCAGCAGCTCACACACTTGGGTGGCCTTCCAAGGCTTTCTCAGGTGGCACTTCAATTGCAGCATCAAATGCCCACCCTAAATGTCTTCATTTTTTTTTTTTTTTAAGATTTATTTTTGTTGGGAAGGCAGCTATACAGAATGGAGGAGAAACAGAGAAAAAGATCTTCCATCTGCTGGTTCACTCCCCAAATGGCTGTAATGGAGCTGAACCAATCTGAAGCCAGGAGCTGGGAGCTTCTTCTGGGTCTCTCAAGTGGGTGCAGAGTCCCAAGGCTTTGGGCCATTCCCTGCTGTTTTCCCAGGTCATTAACAGGGACCTGGATGGGAAGTGGAGCAGCCAGGACTTGAATCAGTGCCTATATGGGATCCTGGCACTTGAAAGAGGAGGGTTAGCTTATTGAACCATGACGCCAGCCCCAGGAGGAGCTTTTTTCTCACCGTGGTGGAGACTGGAAGGGTCAGCATGGCCACGCAGGGGAAGGACTGCTGAGCCCTCCCAGCAGCCTCACATGATGGTTACCAGCACATTAATCCGTCCTCGTGGCCTAATTATCTGCCTAATGCCACACCCCCAAAAAGCATCACACTGGAGGCCCGGATTTCCACAGAAATGTGTGGGAAGACTTGAGCATTCAGTCCTAAACACTGACTCAGTTGTCCTAACCTCAAAATGGGAAGTCAACCTACACATGCTGTGACTCCAACTTCCTGTATCCTCGTTCGTCAGCTCAGAATCTCCAACTCCTCAGCAACTCCTTCTCCAAGCCCTCCGCCCCTCCAACTCCTCTTTTTCTGTCCACCTCTCTGTGCATCTAACAGTTTCGTAGAAACTCAATGTTCACATTCGTCTTCTTTCACAACTCTTTTTACAAGCCCAAATACTGAGGTTGGCATGACTTCACCTGTTCAAAATTTCCCAGAAAACAAGACTTAAGTCCAAATTTCTGACCTTGTGCCCGGCTGCTCCCTGCACTTTTTTTTTTTTTGGCAGGTACGTCTCCTGGAAGACCTAGCTAGCTGGCTCTCAGAGTTCTTAGAACATTTCCTGCTCTGAGCTTGCCAAGGCTCCTCCTGGACGGGACTGGTTCCGGTCCGTTCCACAGCCGAACACTCAGCCTTCTGCCTCGACTGCACCTGTGCCTTGGAACAACCTGGGCTTGCTCAGATCCTCTCCTTCCCCTCCCTCAGCTGTAAATTCTTTCTTGAGGCTTTCCTCTTCAGAGGGCGGCTCTTAAGTCTTCCTCTGCCACCTCCGAGCTTCAATCATTATCTGATGGTTTATTTACACAACTAATTTCGTACATGTTAACTAGTTCCCATTTTCCTGCCAACAGCTTTCCTGTGCACGCTTCCTGGCCCTCCTCCATCTAACTGTTCAGGAGAATGTTCTCTCAGCCCCGAATGCCTTTATCTGACACTTGCACTGCACGTTTTCCTCTAGGCTGCTTCCTCTGGCGTTCCTTCTCTCCCTCACTGCCCCTACAGCCTGTCCAGGGCTTGCCCACGTCCCTCCCTCCAGCCACTGAGCTTTCTAAACTCGGTCTTGAAGCACCACCCCGAAGTTCCTGCAGTGACGGAGTCTCTGACACCCAAGGCCCGGTCAGGAGCAGGTGGCCCTCCTCAAGCCGTCCCAGCATCAGCAGAGCCACGGCCACCTGAGGAGCTGGACGCGAGCAAGCACCGAGTAGCCCTCCACCTGTGGGTGCTGCCGCAGGGGCGGGACCAAACGCTGCTCTCGCCCACTCATTGGCCTTCGTGCTGACGAGCAGATGGAGTGGACCCATCCTGAAGCTGCTTAGTTAGAAATGGACGTCACAGAAATGTATGAGGGGGTTTGGCTTGAGGGCTGAAGCCCTGCTTGCCTGTGGCTTAGCCTCTCCTCCAGAACAGAGAGGTCCTCCTTCCTGTTTTTCAGCGCCAGCCTGGAGGGCGCTGGAGGGCCCGGGGTTCCTTGGGGCAGCCTCGCAGGGCCTTAGAGTTTCCCGCCCTAGCCCTCCGGCCAGCGCAGCCCACGCATCACAGGCCCTTACGTTCAGAGCCGACTTGGGGGTCCCGCCATGCTGTGCAGATTTACACCCGCTCTCCTCTGCTGGAAAGCGCAGCCCCTGGCGGTGAGGCCACCCAAGAGCCAGGCGCTCCCACGCTGGACGCTCCTGTAGTTAAGTGGTACTTGTGCCAAGTGCTGCTTTTCCCCCCAAACAACTTGGGACAGATCCTGCCGCTGCGCAGGCCTGCCCTGGCGCACCTGTGCTGCCAGCCCTACTTCCTCCCTGACTGGATTCCTGTGGGACTCAAAGCACGCTGGGCACCCTGGCTAGGCTCTACCATAACACTGACCCACCTGCTGGGCCCAGGGGCTGTTTCTCAGACAGGTGTTGCACCCCACCCCCTCCCCCGGGTCTTAGCACACAGACAGGGTTTCAGTACATGAACACTGGTTGAATCAGAGTGTGAGTCCTAAGGGGTCAGGAGTGAAGAGTGTAAGGCTTCAGGCTGGGCTATTTTTGGACTGAAGGACGTGAACTATCTCTTTTCCACTGTGAAGCTCACAAGGCTGTGTCCCTTTGGAAATACATGAATAAATGCAAGATGGCAAGTAACGAACTCAAGCTGTTTAGTGATGGCCCCATCACCAACCCACTGGGCACCTGTTGCCTGACCAGTATGGGGGTCACGGGGTGGCCTCAGGGGCTGGTCACTGACAGGACTCCCAGGGGCTTAGGAGGGTGTGCCCGGGCATGCGGTGTCAGGGCAGGGTGGGGTTCCCTCCGACTGATCCTCCGAGTCTCTGGGGTGACTCACTCTGCCTTGGGCTCGAGGGTGGGGCTGGCAGTTGCTCCCCGAGTTGGGCCCTGCTCCTGCGGGCCCCGGGAGTCCCCCATGTCTCCGGACACGAGAGCCACATTTCTGAGGTAATTGATGTTGAAGCAGTTGGTCTGTTCGTCACCAGGCCTCAAGTCACAGCAGAAGGCAGGATCTCTCCAGGAGTTACGTCGGGGACCGCACAGATCTTCGACATAGGCCAATTTCTGATGGAGGATCGAGGTGGGTGGGGGAGGGAGAGGTCACAGGTTACATGTAGACACTTAGGTGCCTTAAGCCCCCTCTCCTGTCAGCTTCTGTCTGCCTCTTGGTTCCCTCCCTGGGAACTGCCTTGCACACAGCTGGATTCCTTGTGACTGACAGATGGACACATCTGGAGGTGCCAGAGCTGGCAGCTCAGCAAAAGCAAGAGGAACTGCGAGCTGGGGAGTGGGCCAGGTGGGTAATGGACGACTTCTGGACCCACCAACCCTTACTTGTGTGGGCCGGCTCAAGGTGATTAAGAGAAGGGGGTAAGCCTGCAGCCCGGGCCCCTCCCTCCCATGCAGCCTGTGACCGCCCCTCCCCCATGCACCTCCTCCTCGGCACAGCAGGCCTGTTCTGGAAATGGCAGCTCACAGCAGCGGGCAGTCATGTTGTGGATCAGCCCAGGAATCTGTTTGCTACGTCGGAGTGAAAGGGGCCGAGTCAGGGATACTAGGTATCCGTGCTCAGCACGGGGGACCCCTCAGAAGGGAAAGGGAAGAGAATCAGGGGGAAAAGACAGACTCACTGCTTGGTGAGAACACGCTGGTTTCCACAGAGATGGCCCATCAGGTTAGGCGTGACTCGGCTGAGGTCAAGGGTCAAGATGTCGTGGTCGTAGTTGGGGTAGGGAGCCTGACGGGCAAAACACTCATCCCGAGCCGGGCTGGGAGGGTACTGGCAGCAGGGGTGAGGGTGGGTCTTTATAGCCTGCTCCCGGTCACAGTATCCATCAAGGGCATCCTCCCACTGTGGGCCAGAGAGAGGAACATCAGAAGCCTGGACGCTTGGCACCTGCTCTCCTGACATCTGCTTCCCTGATTGCTCCTGGCTAGGAGCGGCAGAGCCAATACGGGGAGGGCAGAGGACCCGTGGGTGAGGGGGCAGCTGTAGATGTGTGGGGTTGGGAAGACAGGGGGGTGGGCAGAGACACAGATGAGGTGCTGAGTCGACCACAGGCGCTGAGCTGGAGCAGCAGGTGGAGAAGGTCGGGAGAAGCCAGAGCTGGACGGATGGAATGGTGAAGAGGTGCATGTGTGGGGTCATGGGTGGACGAAGCCAGAACTGCAGGGTGAAGGCTCAAGATGAACACATTCAGGTGACGGACACGGGGTGGACGCAGAGTCACAGCAGGCCAATGGGTAGACGCGCTCACAGCAGAGGGGTGCACGGATGGACGGGCTGGTAGGAGCAGAGCTTGCAGACGGGCAGGCGGGCTCTCAGGATGGGGCTGGGATGCCCACTTACGGCCTTCCAGGCGCAGCTGTAGTTGTTCCCCTGGCGGCAGCAGCGCTGGAACTCCACTTCCAGCCGGGTCAGAGTGTGCAGCTGCCTTTGGATGGGGTCAGTGCCTGGGAGGTTGCGTGGCACAGAGCGGAAGCGTTTCAAGTGGCAGATGTTCTTGACATTGTCCAGCGTGGGTACCCCGGGAGGGAAAGGAAGTTTGGGGCCCAAAGAGATAGCGGGCCGGTGGCTGGGGCAGGCCCGGAGGTGGTAGTGTGGCTGGGGAGCAGCCTCCTGGAAGCAGCGGAATCGAGCCTCCCGCTGCCGACCACAGCACTGATGGGGTCGGGTCTTGACCGAGAACTCGGCCTCACAGAACCGGGTCATTGCGTCCTCCCACTAGAGTGAGAAGGATGGGTTAACCCAGCAGCCCATGGCCCACATCCCTGCCCCTGTGCCAAACTCCAGGAAGGGACAGCGGTGGCCATCCTCTGCTCTCCTAGTACACAGAGGTGGGGCCAGGGCAAGGGCTGTGATGCTTCTTCCCAGGACTCCAAGCCCTGAAAACACACACACACATACACACACACACACACACACACACACACACACACACACACACACACAATCTGGGGGTGGGGTGAGGGTTAAAAGACACTCCTTTGCATCAAGAGCCCAGCTCTTACCACAAGCTGTGCACATTCTAGACGGTGTGTGTGGCTGCGGCAGCGGCAGCAGCGGGAATATCCGGTTTCCAGCAAATTGAGGGTCTGCCCCTGACGAGTGAGGTGTGAGAAGCCAGTCTGTGGCAGGTTCCAGGGGCCGTAGACCACGTGTTGACGGTTGGGAAGGCAGATCTGGTTCAGATTGTCAGGAGAGGGCCGCCCAGGGGGGAAGCCATCCAGCCGGGAGCCCCAGCTCCCACGGGCTCGGCCCGGTTGGCAGTGCTGGGGTGGCTTCTGGGACAGGGGCTCTGGAAAGCCCTCGCCCAAGAAGGGAGCTGGCTCTTCTAGAATGGGAGATACAGAGTGGGGAGGATTGGTAGGATGTGGGGGGAAAACCGAATTATGGGAGGCTGCAGGGAACTGTGGAAGAGATCATTGGTGACGCAACCCTCGGGATGAGTAATTGAAAGGAAAAGAAGACGGAGGCATGACAGGTATCGCCTTCTCCCCCTGTTTCCTATCTCCCATTCCTCGCTTCCCGCCCCACCCTCACCAGTCCCTAGTCACTGCTCCCTAAACTGCTTCCCAGGATCCAGGCTCACAGCTGCCCCTCCCAGGACTCCTGAGTGCCAAAGTGGAGGGTGAAGACCAACCAAGGTGCTGTTACTCACCCTCTCTCTGCCGGGCAGGGAAGGGTTTCTGCTCCTGTTGGGGAGGAAGTGGTTCCACTGCATAGACAGAGAGAGAGGGGGGCAAAAGTCACATTGGGGCAGACCTCAATGTTGGCCTTGGTAAGGCAGACTCAACAGAGAAGCACGTGGGAGCGCATGCCGCTGCCCTGCCATGGCGTCACGTGACAGTGGAGCAGGTGCTCATTCCTCAGGTGCACAGGCAAGCAGACAGGCTGGCAAGGCAGTGTCTGTGGTTATACAGCCTTCTGTCTGCCTGCAAAGCACCTGCTCCAGGTGGAGGCTGTGAGGCCACGGGGCTGGGTGGGCATGACTTACCTTCCTTCTGCTCAACAGGGAGTTGAGGATGAGGCAGCTCTTCTTGAAAGGGGAAGGATTTATAAACAAGAGGGCGGTCCACGGCACCTGCACAAAGGAGCAAAGCTCAGTCCGTGTCAGTGAGAGCTCCAGGACAGAGGTGGGGGTGGGGTGGGCACTACTCACTTTGCCTTTCAGCAGGGAGCTGGAGGCGAGGCAGTGCTTCCTGTTGGATTGGGGCACCTACCATAACGGAAGATGGCTGTACTGCAGACAGAAGGGGAGAGGTGTGAGCGGCCCAGCCCTGGTGCTGGGAGTGGTGGAGAGGGAGCACATTCTGTGCCCTTGCCTCCAGTGGGGAGGAGAGCGGATGAGGAGGCTGCAGGGAGGTGAACAGAGAACCCAGGCATGGCTCACCTTCACTCCGGCCCTCAAAGGGAAGCTCATGTTGAGAGGTGTCAGGGTGATCCAGGAGAAGACCTCGGGTCAGGGGTGGGGCCGGAGGCGCTGCATAGCCCACTAGAGGGGAGGGAGATGTGATCAGGGCGGGAAGCTCTTCTCTAGCTCCAGACCCCAGGAGGATCCCCCAAACTCTCACCCTCTTGAACATGGGGCTGTGGGCTGTACTGTGGCTTCAGCTCCTTCTGCTCTGACGTACTGGGGTCTAGAGAAACGGAGGGCAAATGAAAATCAGAGGTAGGAAGAGTTTTTGTTTCTTGTTTTGGTGTGTGATGGTTTTTAGACTGACTTCTTTATTTCAAAAGCAGAGAGAGTGACAAAAAAAGAGAGGGTCCATCTCTGGTGATTCATTTCCCAAATGGCCACAGCAGCCAGGTCTGGGCCAGGACAGAAGCCAGGAACTCCATTCTGTACTCCAACATGGGTGGCAGGGGCCCAAGGACTTGGGCCATTCTCTGTTGCTCTCCTAGGCTCATTATTAGGGAGGTAGATCAGAAGTACAGGCCCTTTTTTTAAAAAAAATATTTTATTATTTACTTGAAAGGAAGAATTAGAAACAGAGATCTTTTATGTGTTGATTTACTCCCTAAATGGCCACAATGGCCAGCACTAGACCAAGTCACAGTCAAGAGCCCAGAACCCCGTCTGGGGTTCCCACATGGGATGCCAGGGCCACATGTGGTGGCCCTAAGGTGTTACAATTTGGCACTGGCCCCACAGGAGCAATTTAGAGGGACCCCCTTGTGGCCCTATACAAGGGGTAGGAGGCAAGAAAGGAGGTAAGAAAGAAGAACAAGATACAAATCCCTTTGTACTGCACCTACCTGTGCAAGTACCCCAACAGCTAGACATGAAAGACTGGGGTCTGAGAAAGACTACGCTATGCTGATGGCACCACCTCTACATGGCTCAGTGGTTTGGCTTAGAGGGAATGTGATATTCAGGGTTGGGGCGGGAGGACCTTATTTCCTGTGTCTTTTCCTCAGGATCCTCCCACAGCCACCCTGCTCCCAGGCCTCACTGGCTTCCTGGATCACACCAACCTGGGTTTGGCTGCCCACCTGCTCCACCTCAGCTCCCTCTTTGAGTCCTTCAGCTGGGTGTTGGACAAAGTGGTTGAGATGCCACTTGGGATCCCTGCGTCCCACACCAGAGCCCTGGGCTCCGAGTCCTGGCTGCATTCCTGATTCTAGCTCCTTGCTAAGGGGGACCCAGAAGGCAGCAGGTACTGATGAGTCTCTGCTACCCAGTTGGGAAATCGAGATGGAGTTCCCAGCTCCTGATTTCTGCCTGGCCTAGCTTTGGCTGTTGTGGGTATTTGGGGGAGTGAACCAGCAGGTGGAAAATTCCTCTGTGGCTGTCCTTTCAAATAAGGAAAAATATAAAAAACCAAAACCAAAATACAGTTGTCCCCGATAAGGAGCCCACTCAGAAGTGTGAGTGCCTCCTTCTGGCAGGTCCTCCTGTTTAGGTCTCAATTTAGGACCTGGAGGACTGGAACAGGAATGGGGAAAGAAACCTCCTTTCTGGATCTGTAGTCACAAGACCAGGAACCCGGGAGGCATGACATGTTATGACGCGTTAGGCCCTCACAAAGTTATAGACTAGACCAGCTGCCATGCTCTCAGTAGCTGCCTGCAGAAGTGACTGATTTTGTTGGGTAGCGACTGAACCTGGGGCCTGTCTGTGGAAAGACACCCCTTCTTCTCCTAGGTAAATATGAATCAGGCAAACCAGTCTGGAATTGTCTGGGGCTCCCGGCCTTTCCCTGTCCAATAGGCCCCTACACGGGTAAGCTATTCAGGCAGAAGCCCCTGTCTGAACTCATGCACTCTCTGAGCTGCTCGCTTGCTTGGCCTTCCATGATCCCTTCTGTGCCCCCACTCCTGCTGGAAAGCTCCAGTGCCTCAGGCCATCTCCGGGCTGGCCCAGAAAAAGGAGGCTTAAGTGGGGGAGCTGCCAGTGATGAGCTGTCGGGACCAGGGCCCCTGCCCGCACCAGCTTGGACCGGCTGCCAAGTGCTGACCTCGCCCACACTCACCTCCTTCAGAGGTGGCAGAAGCAACAGCCAAGCAGGCCAAGACCAGGGCTGCTCCAGCCATGGTCCCCATCCTGGGGAGGCACTGGTCCCTGGCACCCAGCACCAGGGTCCTCTCGGGCAGATGTGGATGTGAAGGGCCGGGCTGCTGCGGGAAGCTGCTCCTCTCTGGCTGCTGCTGGGCTTACAGGGCTGGCTCCTTCTCCTCCTTATATGCTGACTGCTATCTCCCGCCCTCTGCAGCTTCCTGCTGTGACTCAGTCTCAGTGGCTCCTCCTCTGGTAGCTGCTCCTCCCCAACACATCCTGAGCCTTCTCAGAGGATTGAGAAGAATTGGGGTGATGGGAAGGGAACATTCTGATGACCCCAAGAGAAACTGATTCAGAGGATCACAGGGCAAGAGATGCTCAGGCCCTTAGCTGGCACCTCGGTTTCTCCATGCCCACACTGCCTGTCTGGAACGAGCATGTCTTTGCCATGGGGCACAGGAAAGCTGTCCCACCTGCCAGCACCCGGCCTGTCTCTTTGAGGCCCCTCTCAGGAGTCAGAGATGAAGACACACACCCAGTGGTTTCCAATTTATTTTTAAAATCTCATTCTCTTCACATTCAAATAATAGCTTTTCCTCTGCTGCGGGGTCCCCAAATCAAGTCTCTGTTTCTGAGAGCACCCATGTGCAGTTCCAAGGACCCCAGGGTGGGTGCACCCTCACGGCAAGACTGCTGGCCCTCACAGGTCTCCACCCAGGCACTCCTGGCTCGGCCAGGCTGCCAGCACTCATAGATCTCTGTCTCCTTGCTGTCCTCAGGCTCAGAAGAGCTCCTCAGCGTTGGGGACCCTGGCGTCCTGCAGCTCCAGCAGCCGCCGCGTGGCGTCCCTCAGATCTCGCTCACCAAGCTGCTGGTTATCTCGTGTCCGGACGCTCACTGTCCTGCTGCTCTGCTCTTTCCGGCCAACCACTGCAGGAAGGGGAAAGTTGGTTTGTGGAGCTCAGGGAAGATGCATACACAGGGGTTACTTCCTTTTACCCAAATCTTTAGGAAGGGTGGGAGTCCATGCCTGATACGGTTCAAAGAGAGGTTATATTTAGCCATGCCTGTGCTCTTGTCAGACCACTCATCCTGGGAAGATAAGGAAATGCTGCCTTTTACCCCTTATCACCTTCTGGGCAGGAGCCCATGGGCCAAAAATACTAGATTCAGTAGGAGAAAAACAAACAGATCAAAAAGCAGACTCAAAAACTCTGTACCCTGGCACATGAACATAGCGGGAGCAGGGCAGTGCCAGCATTTTCTTCTGAAGGTATTTCTCCGCATCCCTTAGGGCTGACTCCAGCCAAGTCTAGAAAAATGAGACTAACTAATGAATGCCTTACTAGTCCTTCCTCTCTGCTGCTCCCTTGGCTAACTAGCTGAGAAGACAGCAAGGGCTAGGGTAGAGTTCATCGAGGACAACTATCCTTGGGGTCAGAGGTGGGGCGGTGTGGTTAGGTGAGGGAACCAGGGTCCAATGAGACAGTTTTCTACAGAGCTAGGAAGCCCCAGATAACCCAACTATGCAGATAACCAAGCTTAGCAGCCTGAAGGGAAAGACTGGGGGGTGAGGGTGGGGGCGGGCAGGGGTGAGAACTCAGGGTTCTGAAGTCCTGGATAGGTTCACTCACCAAACTGGAAATTGTAGTGGGCCAGCTGGGCCCGCCGGACTCTCCGGCTCAGGGTGAGGCTGGGGTCCGCGTCCAGGTCACTAGCCAGTCCTGCAGCCTGCAGGGTCTGTTGTACCTGCAACAGGGGTTTGATGGTACAAAGTGAATTGAACAGAAAGTTAAAGAGCCAGGACCGCTGGACACAGCTTTTACCCTATCCCCATTTGCCCCTTATTCCCAGGTCCCCTCCTCCCCACTGCCAACCCACTTTCTGTCTGCCTTCCTTGGGAGATAAGCCCCGACTCTGTGGATTTTGCCAGCTTCTAGCTAGTCCTACCCAACCAGCTGCTCACTTCTGGGAAGGGCCCTATACTCAATTCCCTTTAGAAAGCAAACATGGGCTGGTGCCACCCCTTGGGATGCCAGCATCTCCTGTCAGAGCACTGGCTAGAGACCGAGCTGCTCTGCGTCCACTCCAGCTCCTTTCAGATGTATCTGGGCAGGCACAGATGATGGCTCAAGTGTCTGGGCCTCTGTCACTCATGAGGGAGAACACGATGGAGGTTTGGGGCTCTGGGCTTTGGCCTGGCTCAGCTCTGGCTGCTGTAGTCATTCAGGGAGTGAACCAGCACATGGGTGGAAGGTCTCTTTCTCTCTTCAATCTCCCTTTCTGTGTCACTTTGCCTTTCAGATAAATACATCTATCTTTTTGAAAAAGGATGGAAAAACAAATCAGCATTCACCCAATCTCACTTCTGTGCTAAGTATTCTGATGGCAGCATGCAACATCAGCTGATTTATTTAATTTTCATATTTTGCAACAAGGCAGACATTTAGTCTCATTTGTTACATGAGGCATGTCCAGCATACTAGACAGTTGCCACTACAGCCCAGTCCTGTGCCCCCATGGTCTGTGTGTCCTTCCCACCGCCCAGTACTGCCTCTTCCTCCCCAGTATCAAGCACCAGACTTCCCGCAGGTTCCCCTTTGTCCCCTGGCATCTCACCTCCCTGGCATATCCCTCCTGCTCAGGCCCCACAGGGATGACTACCACCTGGCATGGAGACAGCCACAGCGGCCTGGTTGGGAGAAAACGGACAAGGGCAAATCATTCATTCTTGCTCTCCCTGATGTGTGACTGCAGCAAGCAAACTGGAGAAGGACACTGAGGTTGGGCTCAGAAGGGAGACAGGATCTAGAAGATCAACTCTGAGGGCCAGGACAGAAACACAGGGCGGGTGTTCTCACCATTTCCCCCCACAGCTCTCTGCCAGCACTCCCAGCAACCTTTCCACAGAACCGAGCACTGCTCGGTGAATGAGGACCGGACGCTCCAGGGTGCCTGCCTGCCTTGGAGGGAGAAAGGGGGACACATGGAACGGCAGATGTCACAGTTATACCCCCAAAGTCATCTTCCAGTTCTCAAAAGGTATGTTCAGTCCTGGCTGGGGAGGAAGTGGCGGATCTGGCTTAGCTTTTCAGGTCACAGGTGAAGGGGCGCTGCTCACCTATTCCATGGGCTATCAGGGAAAGAGGTAGGGCAAGGTTCTGTACCCCTTATACTGGAGGTCAAATCTCAGGGGCAGCTGGAAGTCAAGCTGGATTGTCCCACACTGATGAGGTCGACGCAGGGCATCTTGGAGGTGTACATCGATCTGAAGGAGAAAGATGGGGGTGGGCAGGAGAGAAACCAGAACCATTATTTGTGCACTCCGCCTTTTATCTAGTATGTGTGTTCCAGGTACATGAACCGGCTCCATCACACTGTTCCCTCTGAGGGGTTCCCTTACCTAGTAATAGTGTGTTGCTAGTATGGCTGTCACATCCTGACCTATACTGCCAGCCACACTGCAGCCACCAGCCTCACCCTGTCACCTCCCTAAGTGCCTGCACCCTGGAAACACCCATTGTTCCAATAGCTGTCTCACAGTCTTCCAGCTCTGGCAACTGTTCTTGCTCTTGGCTCTTCAACTCATTAATTCCTCTTTATGTCCAACCCCCCTCACCCCACCCAATTCTCTGCTTCTTTCCTTAGGAGAGGCTGGGAGCACTCTCTGGCTCCCCTGTACCAGTCACTGTTCTTGGGTCACATTCTCATGGTCAGATCCTACCCTGGGAGGTACCTCAGCTTTCCAGCTCCTGGTCCCGCAGCAGAATCAGTGCTGCCCACCTCATCACAAGCCACACAGATGGGAAAACAGAGGTCAAGGGCACTCTGGAAGTGCTCGCTGTCCCTGGCTGCCGCCGGCCATCCTCAGGCTGCTTCCATCACTCACTGCCCACTCAGGGAGGAGCTTCACGCTTCCTCCTGTGCCTCTCAGCAAACAATGAAAATAATACACACCTCCCCCAGACTGCTTTCTCAGAACCTCTCGGAAACTTTTTTTCTCATTAACAATATTGTGCTTGCCTTATGGTATTGATAAAATCAATCAAATGTGTTTGCTCTCTTGGTCAGTATTTTCGTTTATTAATTACCAAGCAGTTAGAATACCCTGTGTTTGGACAGACATGTGCGAACTCGGATGAGCAGCACACATGGTACCTAAGTCCATGGCAGCATGTGCAGCCGCTGAGCACACAGATTTTAGCCACAGGGCTCACATCCCACAGATGGGTTTTGAGTAGTCTTGCTCTTCAGCCTCTTTGCTGACAATTCTCCCCTCCTCCACTCCTGTCTTGGCAACTGATTCTGCCTCCTACCTCAATGCAGGACTCAGAGACAGCTGATAGCATGGGAGGCGAAAACACTTCAACTTGCTGACCCCACACCTACAAAGCACCTTGTGTCTACCACCAGCTCTTCCTCCTTCACCGGTACAATGGCAAAGGTGGCTCCTTCCATCAAACGCTCTGGATCCCACCCCAAGCCTCCTTAACAGCCTTCCGCTGGAGCCAGCACTGTAACAGTAAGTCCACCACCTATGGTGCTGGCCTCCCATATGAGTGCCACTTTGAATCCCAGCTGCTCCCTTTCTGATCCAGCTCCCGGCTAACACATTTAGGAAAGCAGCAGAGGATGGCCCAGGCGCTTGAGCCCCTGTACTCACATGGAAACAAAACAAACAAACAAAAAAAGAACGAAAAAAGGGAGACCCAGAAGAAGCTTCTGGATCCTGGCTTCTAATCAGCCCAGCTCTGGCCATTGCAGCCATACAGGGAGTGAACCAGCAGACAATGACTGACTATTTAGATTGCAGGAAGCCTTTCCTGACCTTCCAAGTAATGTGAATGTCCTGAACTTGCTCCCTCAGTGCCTGTAACGTAGCACTGATCCAAGGCCTGACATGGCTGACCTATCTCCCAAAGCCTTCACTAGAACCCAAGTCCCACAGGAACAGGAAAGTATTGCTCTTCTCTATACCCTATACATTTAAAAACATTTCTTCATATCTATTAGATATTTAATAAGACAAAACAGAAAATGAGTAAACGAAACTGAATCCAGAGGCTCCAGCTCACCTTGGGCCCATAGAAGGCACCGTCTCCGGGGTTGAGCTCCCAGGGTTCCCCAAACTCCTCTAGGGCCTGCTGAAGGAGCTTTAGAGAGAACGGGGCAAGACAGCAGTCAGCTCGGGTGTCACGAGGGGTGCATCCCCCTATCCCCAACAAGGACCCCCTCATCACATGCCTCCCTCTGAGGACCACCATTGAGCCCTCTCCCCTCCATTGCAGCATGGCTTATGCACCTGTGCCTCCTCATTTCCTGCTCACCTGCTCAGCTTGGTCCCAAAGACGAGGCTCCCCCAGGAAGCCAGACGGTCGAGTGGACAGTGCCAGGCGGAAGGAGAAGCCCAGGATGGAATAGACAGAGCGGAGGAAATCTAGACAGCCGCGGATCTCTGCTTCCAGCTGGCAGCAAGAAGTAAGTATGAGTGAGCTGTGTGCCAGCTAGAGATGAGGGGTGATGGCAGTTTGGGGGAAAGAGGGCAAGGAAATAGAGAGGTGTCAGAAGACAGCTGACATGTCAGACATACAGTGGGCAAGTGGAGGTCAGGGATGCTGGGGGTTCACAGGGAGACTGTCAGGTGGTTCAGAGACAAAAGATGCTGTGGTAGGAGGAGGAGAGCCACCTGGTCCAGCGTACAGAAGATGTGAGCGTCATCCTGCTGGAAGCACCGTAGCCGGGTCAGTCCCCCCACAGCACCAGAGGCCTCAGCCCGGTGCAGGGCCCCAAAGTCCGCCAGGCGCAGGGGCAACTCCCTCCAGGATCTGGGCCGGTGGGCGAACATTAGGCTGAGGTTGGAGGGGGGGCAAGGTCAGGGTCAGAGGGAGAACTAGTCACTGCTGACTGCCCCCACCCCTCCTCCATGCCCTCCTTTCCAGCACGATGGGGTCCTCGCTGAATCCTGTCAGTCCCACCCACTGCAGTCTGTACCTTGCCTGGCTCAAAAATGGATTTCTTAATAATAAAAAAGCAGATATAATTTATTGTGCCCCTGTTCAGCGGGAAGTTCTAAGTTGAAGGAGGAATGCTGGGCGGCAGGGCCAAATTCTTGATGCAATGTGTTCAGGAGACAGGCCTATAGAAGTGCCACAACTTACAACTTCCCTGACTCCCATGGCTGAAGAGGGGGGCAGATTCAAGACTCGAAGCTAGCAGAGCAGTACTGCTTCCATGGCCTCACATTTAGAACCTGACTGTAACCCCTAGCCCTAGGAGTATCCAGGACTCCTGGCTCCCAGCTCACCAGTGTGCAGGGCAGTTCATGGGCTTGAGGGCAAGGGTGTCTGTGGGAAGCCTGGCAGGGTGCTCACTCTGGGAGCACGCGGACCCATCTGAATCTGATGGTTGCAAGGTAAACATGTCTTCCTTATAATGCTCCCAGTGCCCTGACTTTTCCCAGAGCTTAGTAGAAAACAGCATGGGCGTTTTCACCTCCGAGAATCCACGGCGTGTGTACTCAGCCTGCAGAGGAAGGTTCGACATGGAAAGTCACGGTTAGCAGGAAGGAGGGCAGGCAGGGTGGCAGCTGTGTGAGCCTCCTGGGCCACCAAGCCAAGCACAGCCACTGCATATTAAACATCACATTCTGTCTCCACACCTTCCTACTGCAGACTATGCAACTGCAGTACTTGGATAAAGGTCACCAGGCAGGGTGGCACACAGCATTTTATGTCTTTTAACTTGAATGCCCAGTTCCCACCTGGTCTTCTTTCCCCTGGATTCAGGTCCTCCTTACCCTGATCAAAGTCACCAGTGCATTATACACCCTTGTCCCTCGTGGCAGGAAGAAGCAGCTCCCAGGGCTGAGTTCGTGGAAGAAGAAGAGCTCCTGTTCCTGTGGTCAGGAATGGCAGTGATCACTTCAAGGGGACCTCGGAGCCCAGAAGGTGCAAACAGTGGAGCTGCCCGGTCTGCTCATTGCATTTGCAGCATCCCCGGCTGTCCCTGCGGGTGTTCCTTCAGGCCTCATGACCCCGTGCCCCCTTGCCTTCCCCTGTCTCCTGACCTTCCCGATGCGCCGGTGGTCCCGCAGCTCAGCTTGCTCCCTCCATGCTTCCCAGGCCCTCAGCAGCTCTGCTGTGGGGAAGGAGATACCCAAGACCCGCTGCAGCATCTCTGGCTTCCCGGAAGACCTCCACATGGAGGACGAATTCTGTGGGGGGACAGAGGGGACCAAGGGACAGATGAGAAAGAGAGAAGGCACCCAACTTCTCCCTCAAGCCTCATGTGATGCTCTCAGCATAAACACCCATAGACAGGCCCTTCACTACTTCTCCCAGCGTCACCACTAGTAGGATGTGTCGCACCCCTCTCTGTCACATTTATGGCCTTTGACTTCATTCCTGCATAAGCCAATCCTCACCTTGCCAACTCCTTTTCTTCCTGTCCTACCACTGCCCTATCAGTACTCCATACTTAGTTCCCTCCCCTTCCGATCAGTGACTGAGTAAGGGAATAAGATCTGGACAAATGTCAGTCTATCCATTCCCTTATCATACCCCCAGACAGCTGCCAGAACAACCAGAATCTACATCATACCCTATCCTTGCCACATAAAAATGCAAACGCCTTTGCTTGTTCCTTCCTGTAACAGTAGGACTAATAAGAAACAGCCTACATTTTATAGCAGTTTCCTTCAAACACTTTCTCCTGTGTCATTTGGTTTTACTGTCCCTTTGATGTAGATTTACTAGTAGGACAGGAAACAGCCTTGCTTTATAGACACCTGCTCATGCCCTCCTGTTCCATCTCCCTTAACAATGATGTCAGACTAGAGAATTTGAAACAGCTGGCAGAGAGTTCAGTACATGCCAGCAAGCTGGGGGTGTCCCAAATTGGGAACTAAGTCTTTTTTCTCCTTCTGGATTCCCTTCTTAGCCATCAGCATGGAGAGGGGGTGCTCACTGCAGTGGAACAGGAGCTCCCGCCCAGCAGGACCACCCTCCCCCCACTGACCGCGAACAGCCTGAGCGCTGAGATCTGCCCGGTGTGCCGGAGGTGCGGGCCCCGGCAGAGATCCACCAACGTGCCGCACCTGGGAAAAGAAGGGCTTGGTTAGTGGTTTCCAGATCCTTGAAGTTTTTTACTTCTCCCGCTCACAGCCTCAGCTGACAGAAGAGGTGAAGAGGAAAAACCTACAGAGGCAGCCAACTCAGAAAGAAGTCAGCTCCAGTTGTTGTGGAGAAGCAGCTGAGACTGCCTCTACTCCTTCCTCTTATCCTTGTCTCGGCTTACCCAGTGCCCTGCCCACGCCCCGCTGCACCATCCCTTAATCTCTGTCTCTCTTTTTTAAGGCTTTTTAATTCATTTCTTTGAAAGGTATAGTGATAAGAGAAGGAGATAGAGCAAAAGAAAACTTGCATCTATCTCCTGGTTCATTCCCTAAATGGTCCTACCAGCTTCCCTGGAATTCCAGTGAGGTCTCCCATGTGCATGCAGGATTCATAAACCCGAGCCATCCTCCACTGCTTTCCCAGGTGCATTAACAGGCAGCCGGATTGGAAGTGGAGCAACAGGGATTCAAACTGGCCAAACTGAAGTTGTCATGACATGGGCCCTTATTTCCTTTAACTACGACAACTCTCACCCATACACTGTTGCTGTTGGACCTGCTACTTTCTCCTCAATCAGCTGCAGCTTGAAGGGGTTATCCTGGAAGGTGACAGAGAGCCAAGCAAAGTCAAATGTTTACTCCCACAAAGATGTCTTGGGAGCAAGGCACCGTTTCCTTCTGCCTCTGAGTCGTCCTGCACGCGGCATCTCCACCTCACCTTGAAGAGCTGACGAAGCTGATCCCGAGAAGCCTCCAGCCTGCGAAAGGGCTGAGCAGTGGCTGCCAGCTTCTGGCAGACCCGCTCCAGACCAGGCAGCTCGGAGCCCTGGACTGTCCTGCAAAAAGCAGAGCTAGTGGGCTTGGTTCCTCTGAGGAAGCATCACCTGGGTGACACCTCCAGGAACAATCTTCAATTACTGGCAAAGCCACAGAAACCAGAGAAGACGCAGAAGGGAAATCCGGGACAGATTTCACGGCTGCAGAACAAGCTCCACATGGGAAGACACAGGTTGGTCTGAGAAGTCTGGGAAGACGCAATTAGGACAACAGTAATGCAGGCAGGTAATACAGACCAGGTAGAGGCTTGAGGTGATAACTCTGAAGCAGAGTTAGGACAGGAGAGGCAGGATGAGTACTGTCCTGGGGGGGGCGGTACCCACATCCCAGCAGGGTACCCCCAGCAGAGGGCATTCCCAGCACCCAAGACTTGTATTCCTCTTTCCTCGCAATACTCACCGCTCCTTCCCCAGGAAGAAATCATGGTAAAAGCCATGTTCGGTACTTGGGCCTCGGCACAGAACAGCACCTAGGAACTGTTCTGCAGCTGCTCCTAGGACATGGGCGCTAGAGTGCCAGAACACCTGGAGTCACAAAACAAAACAAAAGTCATACCCTTTTTATTTTTTTAAAAAGATTTAATTTTATTATTTTTTCATTGGAAAGGCGGATATACAGAGAGGAGAGACAGAGAGGAAGATCTTCCGTCCGATGATTCATTCCCCAAGTGAGCACAACGGCCGATACTATGCCGATCCGAAGCCAGGAGCCTCTTCCGGGTCTCCCACGCGGGTGCAGGTTCCCAAAGCTTTGGGCCGTCCTCGACTGCTTCCCCGGGCCACAGGCAGGGAGCTGGAAGGGAAGTGGGGCTGCCGGGATTAGAACCGGCACCCATGTGGGATCCCGGGCATGCAAGGCGAAGACCTTAACCACTGCGCCACCACGCCGGGCCCAGTCATACCCTTTTTAAAAAGTGTTATCATCATTTTATGATACAGTTCCATAAGCCCTGGGATTTCCCTTAACCCCCTCTCCAAAGCCCCTCCCCACCAAGTTCCCCTATATTATTACAATAGTATAGTTCATAAACAGCCATAAGTGCATTATGGCAGGCATGGACAATGGTTACAGAGTCCAGCATCCTACTGTCAACATATACTTAATCGCTACATTGGGAGTCCATCTTTGATCTGGAAGTAGAGATATATACTGCATTGTATTCTCACATCTGGATATGATAGTCTCCATTACACAGTTACTATACATCCCCTTAAGGGAAGCCAGAAAACAAACTCAACAACAGGAAGAAAAAAGGTAATTTACTATGCCATGAAGTTAAATAACAAGCCACTGAATGGCTAATGTGTCACTGAAGAAATGGAAATCAAGAACCTTCTTGGGGTCCAGTGGCGTGGCCTAGTGGCTAAAGTCCTCGCCTTAAACACACCGGGATCCCATATCGGCACTGGTTCTAATCCTGGCAGCCCCACTTCCCATCCAGCTCCCTGCTTGTGGCCTGGGAAGGCAGTCAAGGACGGCCCAAAGCCTTGAGACCTTGCACCCGCGTGGGAGACCTGGAGGAAGTTCCTGGCTCCTTGCTTTGGATCGGCGCAGCACCAGCCATTGCGCTCACTTGGGGAGTGAACCATCAGATGGAAGATCTTCCTCTCTGTCTCTCCTCCTCTCTGTATATCTGACTTTCCAATTAAAAATACAATACCAAACCAAACAGGATCCTGCAACTCCGCCCAGGTCTCCCAGGTAGGTGGCAGGGAACCAAGTACTTGAGCCATTTCCACTGTTTTCCATTAGTAGGGAGCTGGGTCAGAAGCAGAGCAGCTGGGACTCAAACTCTGGTGTTCTAAGTGGTGGCTTACTCTGCTGTGCCACAGAGCTAAACCTGTAAACTGTCTTCTTCAGAGAGGGGTTCTTTAGGGATCTGTTTAGCTTTTTGGCTTTATTTTTTTTTCTAACCTAGGGACCTACTATGATACAACCACTGCTCTAGGCTTTAGTCTCCTACACACAAATGAAGTCCATTTCCCTGGATCCTCAGGCAAAATCTTTGTTACCTGAACTGATGACAACAAGAGGGACTGGACGTGTGTGGTTGTGGAAGCTGTGTTAAGATTAAATGTGCAGCAAACATGAGAGACGCCATGGCCTGCCTGAGCACCTCCAGCCACCCAGGCTCCGGCACTCGCAGGTGCATTCTTCAGCACGGACCCCTCTGTCCACGTCCATTAGCACCGTCAGCTCAGGGTCACGGAGCAGCACCAGGAGGAGCACCAGCAGCAGCTCCTGGGAAAAAAGACTGTTGGGCTCCTCCTCCTCCTCGGGAGGAGGTTGCTGATGGGATAATCCGAGTGCAGCCCAAACCTGAACTCAAACTAGGTGCGCTTAAACCACTGAGCAAGGAAGATCTGGGCCAGTATGCCTACAAGTGTGAGGACTGTGGCAAGTGTAAGGAGTGCACCTCCCCGAGGCCCCTGCCATCGGACTGGTCTGCGACAAGCAGTGCCTTTGCTCGGCGTAGAACGTCATTGACTATGGGACCTGTGTGTGCTGCGTGAAAGGTCTTTTCTATCACTGTTCTAATGATGATGATGACAACTGTGCTGACAACCCTTGTTCTTGCAGCCAGTCTCACTGCTGTACCCGATGGTCAGCCATGGGTGTCATGTCTCTTTTTCTGCCCTGTTTATGGTGTTACCTTCCAGCCAAGGGTTCCCTTAAGTTGTGCCAGGGATGTTACGACCTGGTGAAAAGGCCTGGATGTCGTTGTAAAAACCCCAACACAGTTTGCTGCAAAGTTCCCACTGTCCCCCGCAAGGACTTTGAAAAGCCAACAGAGCATCATCACGAATCAGGAATATTACAACAGTAACGATTGTCCCTCCCCTCCTTCTCTTTTCAACATACACATGCAACCAACTAAGCAGTGCTAATCTCCGCACAGTTAATAGAGAGTTGGGATATTCTTTGCTGTTTGCAGTGAGAAGTGTGTTTGTCCATGTGCCAGTTTAACTGAATAGTTTGGCAGCACTCAACTCATGGAGTTCCAAGAATGAGATACAGAACTTGGTGACCTATACATTACATAAGCTAAAGCAACACACACTCCTTAGGTAGACTTTTGGGTTTGTGAATAATACTTGGAAAATTTGTAAATTAGAAAATGACCTTTTTCATTGTCTTCTCCAGAGATAATGTGCTGTATCTTTGTATATATAGTAATAGTTGCAACTGTGAAAAACAAGTTGTGCCATACGTGGCACAGTCACAAAATATTATACTAATATGTTGTACATTCGGAAGAATGTGAACCAATCAGTATGTCCTTAGATTGTATTTTGCCTTATAGAAAGCCTCTATTGTAAGACTCTGATTTCCCTTTGGACTTCTTGTATATTGTACAGTTACATTAAAATTCAACCTTTATTTTCTCATTTTTTTCAACATATTGTTTAGTGTAAAGAATATTTATTTGAAGTTTGATTATTTTATTAAAAAAAAGAATTTTAAGAGACATCTTACAAATTTTGCCCCTTTTACGAGGATGTGATTGTTGCTGCAAATGAGGGGTTACAGATGCATATGTTCAATATAAAACAGAATAGAAAATATATTAACGCTTGAAACAAACCAAAAGAAAAAAAAAAAAAACATTAAATGTGCAGGGCCTGGCGGTGTGGCCTAGCAGCTAAAGTCCTCGCCTTGAACCTGCCAGGATCCCATGTGGGCACCAGTTCTAATCCTGGCAGCTCCACTTCCCATCCAGCTCCCTGCCTGTGGCCTGGGAAAGCAGTTGAGGATGGCCCAATGCCTTGGGACCATGCAGCCACGTGGGAGACCCAGAAGAGCTCCAGGCTCCTGGCTCTGGATCAGCGCAGCACCGGCTGTTGCGGTCACTTGGAGAGTGAATCATCAGACGGAAGCTCTTCCTCTCTATATATCCGCCTTTCCAATAAAAAATAAATAAATCTTTTTAAAAAATTAAATGTGCAGTAAGAAGGACATTTGACAGCTGCACTCAAAACCTAAGTAGGCCGAACCAGTACATGACATTTTTGTTTCCAGCATACTCTCTCCCTTAGCATCATCAACTTCCAGCTTAGGAACAGAACCATTACATCATCCACATGGTGTATAGCAGGTCTCCCTCCCCACAGCCAGTGGAGAAATGGAGGCAAGAGAAACAAATTCCGGAACTTCTTGCGTTAAGCATCTCTTAACTCAGTAATCACTCTAGTCCCAATAAAGAAGCGAACTTACGGCTTTCCCCTCTGGGGAATCGAACGTTAGGAATGTGAGGTCAGAATCCGTCTCCAAGGGCCGCTCCAGATCATAAAGTTCTCCATTCACTTGGGCGGCCACTGCGGAGTCGGCCAGCGTGGGACTAGGGCAGTGCAAGGTGGGGATGGAGAAAGACGAGGCAGGGTTAGCATCCTCAGCCAGGGGATAAACGGGGACCAACCGCCCAGGAGGGAGGAGTTAGCGGGACAACAGAAGGCCAGCAGAAGCCAGACCAAGGTTCTGAAAGGGCGCTGCTAACAGGTCACCTTGACAGGGATGAAGCAGAAGCGCAGGCCAGAGACAGCAGGGGGGCGGGAGGACAATCCCCCTTGTAGGGATGGGTGGTACTGGTACCTGATCCGCCAGGCCAGCTGGTAAGGGGTCGTGCTCCAGGCCACAGCATCCACTCTCTGCCCTCCGGGAAGGGATATTTTTATTGTCCGGGATTCCTTCTGCGCCAGGCCTGCTAGCTTCTTCACCTGGGCAGTCCATAGCTCCTCAAACAGGCCGAGCCTCTCTATGAGCCAGGACGGAGGGGTGGGCACAGCTGCCTGGGGGGGAAAGACAACACAGACCGCCCTGAGCCCTGGGACCCCACCCCTGGTCTTTAGGGGGGCCCTAGGCTGAGGGCTCCGCGCTCCCCTGGAGCGCCTGGGGACAGTCAGGGAGCCCTGCCCGGGGGAAGAGCGGGGCGGAGGGAGAGGTGGTGTGACTCTTGAGGGGCTCACGCACTGTGTGTAGACTGCAGGCTCGGAACCCCGGGAGCCGCAGCAGCAGCAGCCACTTCCGACAATGCCCCATGTTTCCTTAGACCGGTCAGATTACCGCCTCTCCCTTGCCGAATTCCTCATTGGCTTCTGAGCCAATCCTCTCTCTTCCTATTGGCTATATCAGCCGCCACTCTAGTCGGACACCACCCCCAGGAACTCCCGCAGAAGTACACCCCCGCGCCGCACGACTAGTGGCCGACTGGTTCCGACGCACCGGAAGACCGAAGCTGTTACACACAATTGGTAATTCCCAAATCCGCGGCGTTTTAGCTAAAACCTCCCCTTAGAAGAGTAACAAACGGTCCCGCGGCTTTTAGAATCCGGGCAGGAAAATTAAAGAGTGGGAGAAAAAGCCTGGAGGTTGTAGTAATTTTTAAACCATTCTCGTACAAGATCTTAAGGCAGGTAGAAAACTGTTGGAAGCACAGATCATGAACCTGGAAAAGACTAAGTGTAAACCCTGGATCCCGCGTTAACTATGTGATTTAAGAGCAAATTAATTTCTCTAGGTCATGCTTCTCCTCTACACAATTACAAGAACAGAACCACTCCCGATTGTTGAGGTTGATTTCATTTGAATAGCATAGTGGGTGGTATATGAGCAAGTAGTTATTGTTAGCAATGGATAGAACATCTTTACAGCTGGAGCAAAGAAGCTACAGACAGTTCTCGTAGTCTTTTCGTAGTCATGGTGCCTAAGAGGGACCTTGGAGGTCCCTTGATCTTATGGGTGATGAATCTCATGTCCCAGGGAAATGATGAAAGGATGCTGGCTCTGGAACTCCGGGTCTCGTCCTCACCTGCCACACACCATGATCGACCACTCCCTCATCCCAGAAAGGACTGCCTAGTTTTTAGCTCTCTTCTAGCTTAATCGCACACAGTAAAAACAGAAACAGCCAAATTTGTCAACTAGCAAAGGAGGATTTTTTTTTTTTGGAGGGGGAGGGGGTAGGCTCTCCTTCAGGCTCTCAGTAATTCCCTTTAGTCCCCTCACCTGGGGGTGGGGATGCTTAAGAGTTGTTTTTCAAGTTTCGGTGGTGATGAGATCAAGAGTTGTGGAGGCAGAGCTGTCAGAGGAAACCTTAATCTAGGTTTCCAGCAAGGCTGAAGGTGCTGTCTGATCTGAGTCACGGGCACCGCTCTGCATTCTGGCTCCAGCGTCTGGCAATATTAACACCCTGAAATACAGAAAGAGACAAGGCTGTGGAAGAGGAAGATTACATGGGTGCGTGTAGCAATGAGAAGGCAGTAATTTTTTTGCCCAATAGCATTTGAAAAGGTGGTGACAGAACTCATGGCTTTGCACCCAAAGTGACAGGGATGTGCTTTACAGCAGGCGCCAAGGTAGCAGGTCAATTCAGTAAATGCTGAATTGTGTACGAATCACTGAACTGATTGAGCCTCCAAAAGATAGCTTCTTTAATGATTTTGCCTTGTCCTCTTTCGTTGGCATAGCACCCAGATGGTGGAATAAACAAGCTATCCCGAGACATCAGGTCCCTACACTCATCTCTCAGACATGGACTGTTTTGTACGTGCACTCCACTGAGCAGGGATGTCTGAGAGATGCCATTCACCAATGTCACCTGGAGCCTGTGTTACAGCTGGGGGAGGAAGGAATGTCAAGAGTGACTCCATCCCACCACTTGTAGCTAGCTAGCGAGCAGGCAAGGACAGACTAGCTAGGGCATATTTGGTAATTAACTGGTTCTTCTAATAGTGACCTGCCTATGCTTCTGCCTGAGGGAATTATTTTAGCCCGTTAATCTGCCTGGGAAACATCCTTAAAATCTTGCTGCTCTTCCTCACCCTTCTACATCTGCCAGAATACCAGTGTACCCCTACTATGTGTCAAGAGCCACGCCTTCACTGTCATTCCCAGATTCCTGTAAAGCAGTAGCTATTCCTGGACTGTCGACACAAACCCTAGAGAAGGCAAAGCCTGACCTGTTGGTATTACGTGGAGCTGGCCCAGGCACAAGGTACACTCCCCAGCGCTGCTCCCGCATCTTTTCCAGGGTGGTCAAGTGCTGCCTCCAGGAGAAAACCAAAAGGAGGTTTCTTGCAACTTCTACCAGCCTGAAGTTAGAGCAGCAGCACCAGGAAGGAAATGCTCTGCTGTCCACAGAGGCAGACGTAAACAGGAATCCTCAGTAAAGCATATTCTAGACCCTTGGTCAAATTTCAGGAAAGCCTAAACTTTACTCCACTTTCATTACAGAAGTCAAAAGCCTTGACTGAGAAGGTATTTTTAAAATAGCTTTAAATTATGTGTAATACTCCCCAATGAAAGGTCAAGTACATATCCCACTTGTCAATAGGATCAGCAACATACCTTGAAGCCTACCTTACTTCTTAGAAGTAGGATTTTCTATTTGTCTGTACCAACAGTAGGAGATACTTCAGGTAATAAGGAATTGAATAAGATAAACTTTAAGGATTTTGTAGCTAAGTGGTTAAAAAGGCATAGTAGCTACTCCTGAAAGAATTGTTTTATCTTAGCAATACAAGTGGGAGACCTAGGATGGAACTGAGCGTTTAACTTGCGTCACCGTGGTAAAAAAAAATCCAGCCAAACCAGCTGAGGGCTGGGGGCACAGGGGACTGTAAGAAGCCTTGGCCTGAGAACAAAGCCTGGGCTCACAAAAAAATCCACAGCGAGCTGCCTTTCCCAAGATGTCTTCTGAGCCTGCAGAAAAGCAAGACACTCCAACCCCTATTTTCAATCATGACTGTGTCAAGACCAGTGAGGAAATAAGAAAATCTCTTCAATACAGGAGCCAGTGCAAGGATTTTATCAATTTAGGTTGAATGCTAAGGTAAAAAAAAGAGCCAAGTACTCTCAAAACCAAAGGTGGTTACAACTATAGAAGGAAGTAGGCGGGTAAGGCTGACTTCTCGATAACCAAGATTTCAAATTAATCCTTTCAAGACATCTGCTGACTTCGGCTAGCCTAAATGTTGTGGGGTGGGTATAAAAGGCTCCTAAGCAGGGGAAGGCAGGGAGGGCAAGCAGATTGAAGCAGATCCTGTGCCTCCTTTTTTTTTTTCCTGTCTGGTCCAACCAAAACACCCCAATAGATAAGCGTTTCAGGCTTTGTTGCTTTTCCATAATGTGGCAAAGGACAGTAATAATCCTCAGAAATAAAAAGATACAACAGGCATAATGAAGTAAGTAAATTCACCGGAACATCTAGCTTGCTATGAACCCAAACAGGTCCAGGGTGGACCAGTTCAGCCAACACCCTCTTGAGTCAAACACAAAACTGTGGCCTCTCTTCATGCTTGTAGCTGCAGGACTCATCAGCCCTTCCATCCACATGGCTCAACTCTTGACCCTCGCCTAGGTGAGAACAAAGAACTCAAAACTGAGTAGGTGGACCCATAAGGTAACTGCAATGACCACTTCCTAAGATGGTATCAGCCTTCCTAACCCTTGTCCTCCAACTTGTAAAGAGGTTTCTCCTTCACGTCCCCCAGAGCCCGGGTATTGTTTGGCACTGTGTTTGCTCCTCTCCAAGTGTCTGTGCTTGACTCCCACTCAAGAGAAGGGGATAGCAGCATGTTAAGAGCTGTAATGGTGTCCCACTCCAAGCCTTGCCTGCGCGGCCATGGCCTTGATGAGTTACTACTCAGCAATTGTCAACAGCAACTGACCAGACTTGTCCAGTTACTCATAAACAAGTATGAGAAACGCCCTAATACCCCAAAACTCACGCTGATGGTGTTTGTGTTACTATGTCTACAGACATGAGGGGCCAACTCATCCCTGCTGTACACAATTGGCTCGGATAAAAGCAGCCAGCTGTGGAGTTATGCCTTCTCAGTATCATGCCCAGGGAGGGCCGCTGGAGGTGCCACAGAGTTATTGCCTCCTTGAATGTGGACAGGAGTCAGGCAGGCCAAGACCAAGAGGGCAACCAGGCTGGTGGTACTCCCAACCCACTGGCTGGGGGCCTGGGCTCCTATTTCTGAAGTATCTAATGACACACAGATTTAGCCTTTTGCAATTAAGGTTGCTATTCACAGCCTCTTCCCTGCCAGTAACCCAGGCCTGGTGCAGATAAGTCACTAGCGTGCTGCACCCCTTAGAGCCAACATTCCACTTACTAAACCTCATTGGGTTCTGACAAAGCATGGGATGGGAGACAAGGACTAAGTGTGGTTTCTGCATGACCGATTGCCAACCTATGCTAAGAAGGGTAGGCGCGGGAACAAGCAGGCCAGTAGGATTCCCTACCACACCTTCTCTCCAATTCTATGCTTTTTAAAATAAATGTTTCCTGGCTCACAATTGTGAAACTTTTTGAAGACACACACAAATGACTATCTATGCAGTACATCCCATTTCATCACCAACCACTCCCTGAATATTTTGATCTCACCCCACCCTGCATCTCTTTCCAAAATTGAATTACAAAGGCTCAAACAGAAACCCACAAGTCCATGAAGATCTCAGAAGCTTAGGTTGCCTTCAGCGACATTAAGTGCTGAAGTCAAAGGGCACAGGTGGACAAAGTCAACATGAGAGGGGAAAGTCAACCACACGACAAAGACAACCATACTTTATTTAAACCGGAAAACAACATATTGGGGATGAGATGAAAGAAGAGGAATGGCTGGAAGCAAGTAAAGTGCAAGTGGTCACGAAGGAGGGACGAGACAAAGGGCCTGTGTCCTGAGTGTGCCCCACATGTGTGCTGGGACACTCAGCATGCCCCCTCTTCCCACATACCCTTCAGACCGAAGGGGGACACCCTCTTCAGAGATGCAGCCGGGGTCTTCCTTCTGCAGGCGGAACGTAGCGGCCGTCACCTTGACAGTCGCACTGGGTCTTCGCTGGAGCAAACTCGGCTTCTTTGAGCCTGGTCCTGTTCCAGAGAGCAGCAGGGTCAGCTTCTGGACAGGTTCCCTCCTCTGTGCACTCACCGGCACAGCCGGGGGCCCTTGGTCAAAGCCCATCTCAAAGAAAAATGTCAAACCTTTACAACTCGGTTATTTTATTAAATGATGTTAATACACATTTCAA